TTTTTTTCATGTGCTGAAGAGGAGTTGCTTAACATTCATATTCTTCTTGAGCTATTTACAGATTTTCTTTTTCTGTGTGACATTATTAGTTACAATAAATTTTCAATTTCTTCCTGTTCACCCGGAGTGATTATTTTAGGAGACAGCCACGAAACTAAAGTCATGAATAATATTTATATCTATTTTAACCTTTTATTCGTGTCAATCAGTTTATATCTTGATTTGAAAGATCTTTGTGCATCAAAAAGCGGCAAAACAGAGAGAAGATTAGAAATAATTAGTTGTCAATTTAAAAATAACAAAATCTCTAAAAGTAAATTCAGAACATCCTGTACTCTCTTACTTCACTATAACCTCCCTGCTGTATTCATTTAAAACTCTGAATCTCAAAAACGACTAACACAACTGGATTCTCTTACCTCTTCGGAAGATAGGTAACATATAGAAAAGCATTAAAAAAGACACAACATTTAGGTTAAGCTTTTAACTCTAGCCAATATATTAACAAGAATTAAGGTTTTTACCAAAAATGATAAATTTCTCTCAAAATTTCGAAGACTTTTCATCTTCTTGAAACTCTAATTTCAGCAAAATTATCTAGTTAATTTAAACGTATTTGGATGATGCATGAGTAATCAGGACTTTAGTGCAAATAAAATGGCGCTAGTAGTTCAAATGCTGTAGAATTAGAAAAATCATAACCGATCAGATTATGTTCAATGTAATTAAAGAATTCTTTCGAATTTCAATCTTCAGGTAGAAGTCACATGGAGTCGTCTATAACACTGCCCTCTGATAAAGGAAGAGTATAGATTCACATGAGAGATAATAAATATATTACTACGACAAATAATAGCATTAATCTGATAATGAAGGAAAATGTGAAAGACGTACATATTAAGCAAATGTGTTATTATTAGAATGAATGTTATTCATTCTTTTGTGTAACTAAATAAAATAGTAATAGTAAATAAAAATGTCTATAAATTAAGAATTGAATGTATTTTTGTCTGGAATATTTTGCATGAGGTCTGTGCATTGAAAATATTTTTATTTGGAACAAATATAAGTTTAACAGGAATACAAACTTACATAGAAAAATACATATTTGCTTTTAGCTTTTAACACAGAAAATATTTGCAAAAAATTAAAACAAACCACGTTTGGTAATTTAAAAAAAAATTTATCTCCCACCAAAATATGAATAATAAAATTCTATAGCAAACTTTAATATGATATTATAAGCTATTTTCTCCCTTCTTCTAGCATTTCTTCGTGGTGTAACGGTAGCACACTCAGCGTGCATTCGAAAGGTTCAAGTTCGAGCCCCGGCGAAAGCATTGTACATTTCTCACTTCTCCTGCTTCAAAAAAACCTAATGACTATAATATATTCCACACTTGATTACAATGCTTGACTGATATCAGTGACGCATGAATTCAACCAGATTGTGCAAACGATAATGTTAGAAGTTCTGCCAGTACCCTATTCATTACTATAACCAGGCTCATTTTAGGGGTCTGCTTTCTGCAGTACGCCTAATAGGATCATTAAATAAATCGTCTCTGGTTTTTAGAACAGGGAATCTTGTAGATTAGGATATTAAATCTTGTCTATTCCCTCTCTTTGAATCATATCTTCATAATTATTGGAAAGGCTGTTGCCATCATTATGGATGAAAGAATTTACAATAATAGCATGAAATTCATTATAAGACTACATATAATATTATGAAAATAACGAAGCGCATTCATAATTTTACTTTCCAGCATCAGTAGCTCTACATACCCATTAGTTATTTCCTCAGTTCACATCTTTACTCTATCACTTCTGTTATGATCTAGACGACAAAATATCTACTTTCATCCATGAACGAAAAATTAGACCACTGACCATCAAATCAGTTTAAGTGTTCATAATTACCATCATTAAAATTTAGCTTTGCATGCTTCAGTTCAGTATTATAACATACCGTGTTAGTTTGAAGGAATATAAATCAATTTAATTCAAACACCTACATATGGTCTGTGCTCCAAGGCAGTCAAAATTTATATTATCAACGAAACAATTAAACTAAAAGTTAAGATCGAAAACGGCAAAATATATAATGTCTAGATTGCCAGAGATTCAGTGAAACACGGGGATTCTGTCAATTTTAGTATGTTGCATCAAATTCCTCAGCAGACCACACGACCATCTTTGATATTAATTAGGAAGATTTTCCTAAATTCAAAAATTGCGGATTATCCCTCTTTACGAGTTAGAACTTGGCCATGCAAAAACCTATTTCTAAAACTGCGTTTAAAAGTTATTTAAAATGTAAATATCAAAGGAAATTAAGTTGTTAACACGAATTATGCGATCATCATCGATAACAAAAGTGAATCCCCCAAAACAGAAAGTGATGAATGACAGAGTATTAACACAGTTGCTAGTAGGAAAATCACCAAGCACTGCTATTCTAGCCTGACGTAAAAGCTTTAATGAAAAGAAAACTAATTTCACGTTTCATAATGTATCAAAAAAATATTCTGTCTTTAATTAAATTTAACAAAATTTACGCAAAAGCGTTTAATAATGTCGCTCTTATGCAAATAATCAATAAAATCAAGAGGTTGTAGCACAAGAGTCTCAAACTCAAATTGCCTGCAGGCCACATTCACAGTCTGAGAATACTTAACGGGAAACAATTAAGAAACGAAAAAAAAAAAAAGAAAAATCAGTTTTTCACAAACAATTTGTTGACTAAATTTAAAAAATTACTAAATATTTACATAAAAATAATACAAATAAAAAAATTCTTTTTTTTTTCCCCCTCCCTGAAATTTAAATTTGGTAGCTGCAAGAAATTTCTACTGGTGAAAATTTGTAATTCAAACGCAGTCGTAGCTAAATATTAAAATTTTCATTTTAAAATTTATTCAAATAATTGTAATATATTAAAGTAACCATTCAGTAACTTAATAAAGTTAAACTAAATAGTTGTAGAGACATTAGGTATTTTTTTGGAAGCAGGAGTGATGAAAAATGAGCAACGCCTTCTCCTGGAATCGAACCACTGACCTCTGGAATACGCACCCAGCGTGCAGACCACCACACCACGAAGGCATGCTAAGAAGGAAGGAGAAATACCTTATACACTCCCCCTTTTTAAAGGATGACTGGGGTTTTTAGGGGACCCTATCGGCAAATCCTGGGTGTGGAGATTCATCATCCATCACCCTTTTAGTTCGGGGCCCCTGTAAAGACATTAGGTATCTTTTGAAAGCAGGAGAAGTAAAATATGAGCAACGCCTTCTCCGGGAATCGAACCACGGACCTCTGGAATACGCGCCCAGCGTGCAGACCACCACACCACGAAGGCATGCTAAGAAGGAAGGAGAAATACCTTATACACGCCCCCTTTTTAAAGGACGACTGGGGTTTTTAGGGGACCCTATCGGCAAATCCTGGGTGTGGAGATTCATCATCCATCACCCTTTTAGTTCGGGGCCCCTGTAAAGACATTAGGTATCTTTTGAAAGCAGGAGAAGTAAAATATGAGCAACGCCTTCTCCGGGAATCCGAACCACGGACCTCTGGAATACGAGCCCAGCGTGCAGTCCACCACACTACTAAGGTACGCTAAGAAGGCGGGTAGAAACACCTTATATACTCCCCCTATTAAAGGGCGACTGGATTTAGGGGAGCCATCGCCAAATCCTGGGTGTGGAGAATCATCATCCACCATCCTTTTGGTTCGGGCGTCAATGTAGAGACATTAGGTATTTTTTTGGAAGCAGGACTGATGAAAAATGAGCAACGCCTTTCACCAAAAATCGAACCACGGTCCTCTGAAATACGCTCCCAGCGTGCAGACCACCACACCACGAAGGCACGCTAAGAAGGCGGGAGAAATACTTTCTAAAGTAATATATGGAAACTTAGCAAGAATGACAAAACTTGAGAATAAATAATGAAACCTATTCTCTTTCTTTCATTCATTAGATATTTTTATGGCACATACAGAAAAAATATCTGAATGTAAGTAACTATAAACTTCTTTGTTTCTTAATACAACTTTCAACTACAGCACTTCATAGCGTTTCGGGTTTCATAAAGTTTGTAATCTTGGAGGAAAATTACTAGAAAGTGAGTTCATCACAAACTTTAATGCAGTCTGGTTCTTTCCTATACTTATTAGTTTTCAAACACGAAGCACATATGTAACAGATTCACATGTAAGCATTTCACGTCAGAATATATTATTATTATTATTATTTGGTTAATGTTAGATTCAGGAGAACCATTACAATATCAAGGATACTTAAATACTACATTTAGACTCTTCCAATATGTTATGTCGTGGAGCAAAAACAATTTTATTTTACACCTGACTGGCACTGGCTCCGACATAGCAATGTGAATACTCTACATCTAAAATTTTAAACACCATTCCAGAATTTTGAATGTTTATTTTATAGAATTCTATTCATATATTTGCAAGTTATACACTATAAACACAATAACAAAATTTGAACTTATCTGCACCAGCGTGAATAAGCCTGGCATAATTATTTTGAACTCGACGCAACTTTAGGAAGAAAAATATCGCAAATTCAAACACAAGGTTTTCATCCTTTTCAACGCAGCTAATTTTCTAAATATATTTTACTAATATTCGCAGCGGATTCCATTCATTTCACCCAAAACTCAAATGTTTTAACGCAATAGTATCGCAAATGAAAACGTCGACTAAAAATCAAAATATTAAAATCTATAGAATATCATCCGCTGTTGCCATTCCAACACTGCCAAGTTTTTCTTCCTGCAGCTGTTGCCAGACTTATCCTCGCTGTATGATGAGAGGTACAACACAATAGGTTCAATGACTATATTTGTGTATTGAAAGGTTAGTTTCAAAATATAGAGCTTCTGAAAATTTACTTCAAAATAATTAATCATACACATTTGGTAACATGACAAGTTTACTATTGGAAAATAATTTAAGAGATTATTACTTTTTCTTAGCATATTTAGGAGTATTTGGAACACTGTAATCTTCAGAATCCAGCGTTGGGCTGCGATCTCTTTCGTTCGAAGGCTTGGGTAAGGTCATCACAAGGTTAGGCCCCATCGGATAATCGGATTTCATTCCTGTTGGGGTCTGGGAATAATACTCAGACAAAGTTACTGTCGCAATTTCCGCTTTATTGCTCGAAACCTGCAAGATAAATTATTATAAATAAAAGATTAAAATAAATTATTATATAGAAACTTATTTAAAGAGAATGGTTATATATAGAGATCCGAAAGATAAATTATCAGATAAATAGATCAACTATACGTTTTAGTAATTTAATATGATAAATTGATGTGTATGAAAACCAACCATTACACAGGTTTAGCAAATACGAATGCCTATGAGCTTTTTATACAACTGCTGTTAAGAAAAGTATTTTCTGCGAATATATGAAGAGTAACGTTATGAAATATCTACAGTCTAATTATTCCGATTTTCGCGTCATGATACATTAAGGTAAGTTACCGCATCCCCGTTCACTCATTTCCACTTTACCTTGTAAATTGAATTATTACCTTGAATTATTGCATTCCCTCGTACATGCTGTAGTATTTCTTTCCGCTGCAGACTGGACGGTTCACGTGCTATTGTGCTTCAAACCAATTTTCCAGCCAGTGGGAAGTTGTCTACAACCAGCCAAACACAGCTCATAGGCAAGGTCAGATGGTTGATCGGGCATTTATTTCTGTGTATTAATATAATTCTGATAATAGCTTACAGATGCAATTCCGAGTACATTATGCGGAACTGGATCTCAGAGACACTGGAATTTTACAAATTTTGAAAATGCTATTTTACGGATATTTACAATGATGTTTTGACAACTGCGGTTTCGAAAGGCAGAATTTGGATTTGTGTCTTTACATTAATTAAAATATTTTATAGTGTTTACAGTCTTTGACGTTTATGGTCTTTTCAAACCTGATAAATGTTGCAGCTCATCAGAGTTACAATTTCTGTATTTAACTACCTGTATCACTCTTCTTAGAACTCCATGATTACTTGCGAGCAACTCAAAATATTTTTGTTCATTATCTGGTGATGGTTTTGATATATGAAATCTTGTCGTCATTTGACAGTCATGCAGATAGTCGCTGAAGCCTTCCTTGATACCACAGTAGCACATGCCCGTTTCTCTACTGCCAAATCTGTGTAGATATACAGGGCTAGAAAATGACCTGTGTGAACTTTGTGGCATAGCTGCAATTTGTCTTAATTTATAGGTAGATCTGGAAATTTTATAGTTCAATCGAACTACATCCATGTTGTCCTAATTCTTTTGCCATTCTGAACTTTGGTCTTGTTTTGACTCGGGAGCTTGGGTTTGGAAATGCAGATGTGACGGATAGTATGATCTGCTTTCGTTAGTTTACTAGCGAGTTCATTTCCTTTTTTTTTTTTTCGATGACTAACACAGACTACAACTGTGCCTATTTTCGTTTTGGAGCCATCCCTATATATATAGATAGATAGATATTTGTTAGATATAACGCTCCTGAATTTATAGTGTACATCTCTGTAAATTATTCTGCTGGATGGATGCTGTGGATATGATTTTGGAGTTCCAATCAGAACTGATATAGTGATTCTGTGAGGTAATTATATCTTCCTGTAGGCTTACTACTTTAATACTGATGATCTTTTCTTTGAGCTATAACTGGCAAAATTCGAGCCAAGCTGAACAATGCCAGTGTTGGAAATGAATGAGATGAAAGGTTCTATAACCGTTAGTTATCAGTAGTTCCGATTTTCTTTGGATTTTTAGAAGCTTTTTTCTCATTGCATTATTCGTATTGAGGCCCCAGGCCGATGTTGCTAGATACATAATTAGTTAATGTTTCCTACTATGTCTTTAGGAGATTGGGACTGAATCCCTATGACTTGGAGGTGGTGCGTATTGGATCACTTTTAACTACTCAGATTTTATTACTGATATATCAAATATAAGAGGACCAGGAAATGTCGTCATCTAAGAGAACTTCAAGGTATTTTAAACTCTGCAGATTTTGATATTAGAGTTTTTAATTCGGGAAGTTAAAGCACTGTGTGAAGCTTTGTAAGAACTATAACAACTGACTTCTGTGGCTGGACTCTGAGTTTATGTGCTTTGCATCAGTTTACTAGTGATTGCAGGGCCTTTTTGATGCTTTCGTGTAGTTGGGTCCTTGATTTACCACTTGAAATAACCAAGGAGTCATTAGCAAAGGCTTGAGGTTTTATGTATTGAGAGATGTTGATTAGTCTCAATGCTGAGTCTGCTACAACATTCCAGAAGGTTCGAACCATACAGCTGCCATGTGCATAGTCTCTTGAAAGCGACTGCGTCCGTGTATAGTTCAGATGGTAGTAAAGAGCGATTGTTCAGAAAATTTGCGAGGATTCGAATGATTTGGCTATGTATACCCATATGTGCCAATGAGATGATGATGTAATGCCACCATATGTTGTCAAATGCGCCTAGTTGTATAGCCAAGTCTTCTTACTGTCCTGGCATATGCTATGAACATTGGGTAGATTGGATTCAACTGAAATTTACTCCAAGAAACCAAACTGGTCTTTCTGCAGCCCTCTGGTTGCGATCAGTTGATAGTTCAGCCGCCTTAGGATCATTTTTTCAAAGGGCCTGCTAAGGGGAAAAAACAAACAAATCGGCCTATAGGAACTACAGTCATCCCTGTTTCTGCCTGCTTTAAGGAGCAATGACACATGAACGTGCTTAGAGCGGTTGGGAAGATACCCGATGGGGATGCCTTCGTGGAGGGCTTTCTAATGGAAACTACCATGGATTCTCTTTGCTCATGGAGAAAACCATGAAACCTTCCATACAGCCTGCTCTCTGGGATTTAAACCGTGATCGAACTACAATGTTCAGCGGGCTTATTCGCTCCGCCGCTAGTGGGCTTGATAAATAAATATAAATAACTCTTAGCGAAATATGTCAGATGAGCGTACCTTTCATGAATAAGTTGAGTATAAGAGTTTCACTCAAAATGGGAACAGATAATATTATCTCTTATGTCGTATAGGTAAAATTTCAAAAGTATGATAGTCTGAACTAGTAAAAAATTACGGAATAAAGAAAAGGCCTTATGGAAGGACGATTGAAATTATCTTAACAACCCCTGTGATTCCTGTCAAAGAATTTTTAGCTCCACTGCTCACTGCTTTTTGAGTTTTACGAAAGTCAATAGCAAGGATGGCATTTTTGTATTAAAAATGAGTGTAAATATTTGATTCTGATCTGACAGAAAGCTCCATTCTACAGTATTGATAGGTTTAACTGTAGTACGGGAATAATTAGCGTTGTGATTTAAATCGTAAATAACTTTACCTTTTGTTGTATTTTTTCTTTTCTTTTGAGGACTGTATAGCCAGTATGTGGCGATTTGATTATAGAAAGGTTCACCACCAAACAAGAGCGAAAACTGCAGTGCTATCTTAAAGTTCAACTCTATATTATTTTGACACGTTAACCTTACCGCAACTTCTTTAACGTTCGGAACTTGCCTACCGCTTTAACAATGTGCCGATTGATTCAACAATTATGAGGTATTTCTGCCGCCTTCTTAGCATGCCTTCGTGGTGTAGTGCTCAGAACGCTCGACGCGAATTCGAGAGGTCCATGATTCGAGTCCCGGTGACGGCATTGCTCATTTTTCATATCTCCTGCTTCGAGTTCTGCGCATGTCAGCGGCCATATTGGTTGTGGTTTTGTGTGCTCCGTTAAAAGTGCTAAAATCTTGGTAATTATACCACTTGTGTTTGTGAAAATGTGATTCTTCCATGGATTACTAGTTCCGGTTGCGATATCTGTGGTGTTTCTCTGCGAAGAAGGGAAATCTCCGAGGATAGGAAGACTTTTAAAATTGTTGCTGTCCGCCGCCCTCATTTGCATATCCTGAGTAAGCATTGTCTCTCAAGGTTTTTATATACTGTGCTAATAACTTTTGAGTACAAAATAGGATTTTATATCTGTTTCTCTACCTATTTTTTTGAAAATTGTGATTTTGGTACATGTATGAAAAATGTTATATGCATTTGTAATTCTGAGTAAGCGTTAGGCTTAGTGTGGCGGATACATGTTGACACCACGAATTTGGTGCACCATCCACAAGTCTTTCTGCCTGCTGAAAGACAGATAATTCAAATTTCTGCATAAAAAATTATTTTGGAACCATTTAAAACACAAAGTGAGATGGTTCGTCCAAAAAATAAAGAGCCTAAGGGGCAACGCCCCGACAATGAGACGCAGTCGGCCAGTGCTCCAATAATACTCGTAGATAAGACACAGAAACAGAGCAGTACACGACAGCTAGACGTTGATATAACTTTGGTAGATGCCAGTACAGAGTATCAAGAGGCCTCAGAGTGCTATACTAATCTAATTGGATATTTAAATAGAGACGACATTTCCACAAAAGCAAACAAAAAGATACGAGGTTTCTTTGACCATATGTTAAGAATAGTCTCGAGGCAGAGTTACAAAATTGCCAATTTGGAAGGACAAATTGAACAAACTAAGAATATAGAGACATACATCCAAGGAATAGTCGCCACTCAAAAGCTGTCTTTTGCAGAAGTTGCAAGATCTCGTCGGCTATCCAGAAGTAGTTCTAGATCTAGACGATCACAATCAAGATCACGGCAAGAGACAGAGCATGTATTACTAGTCTATCCTAAGACTGAGGGTAGTACATCCGACGAGGTAAAGGAGAAGCTGGTGAAGTACATAGATCCAGGAAAACTCAAAGTAGGCGTCAAGAATATAAAGAGAGTCAACAAAGGAGGGCTCCTAGTAGAAGTTACGAAAAAGGAAGAACTGGCAATACTTGAAGAGGCCATAAATGAAAATCGGAAGCTGAAGGACGTAGTGGAGACGAAACATCCACAAAAAAGAAACCCCAGAATAATAGTCTACAATGTCAACGAGAACATTAATAAAGACGAGATAGTAAACTTCATTAAAATACAGAACACCGACCTAGCAGAAAGTGAAATAGAGATTCTGTTCGCCATGAAGGCCCGCTTTGGACAGCACTGGGTTCTATCTATAGACCCAGTAGCTTTCAAGATCCTTATGAAAACGAAGAAGAATTGAACATACAATGGTCAAGATATAACGTAAGGGAGTTTATAAAGGT